AACCGGGCTACAGAAGTTGATCACATTATTCATGCAATCAACCCGACAATATGCTGCTTGGTGTCCCTGACATCTCCACTGCCCACACAACAAATCTGGATGAACAGATAATTGTTGTTATTGTTGGCACCTTTCCGTCATCCCAGACGATAGTGTTGTGTGAAATGGAGAAGATGGACTGATGACATGAAGTGCTTCTACATCGACACGGAATGACAATAGCCAATGTGGCTCATCAAGCAATGGATCGAAAACTCTTTCTTCCAGTAACGCTTAACGGCAGAAGTTCAAATTGATGAGGATGAAGATGATGATGATGATGATGATGATGATGAGTGTTGTTATACTGTGCATGTAGAAGGCATGAGAATCCTATGCCGTGACGATGACTGGCAGTATGAATGGCAAGACTGGCTTATGATAAGAAAAGTCATTACTAGTAACGAACTTGGGCCTAACTACACACTAGCTGACCTGTCATTGATGATTGGTCAGGCTGGTCTACGTTAGAGGGTTGTCCCGATGTACTGCTGTCTTCACAAAGCTTTCTGCACTGCATGTTAATCTTTCATTTATGAGCAGCGGCCGTTCACCTTGAGTTCTCACTTGTAAGCAGAATAAGTGTTTGTTGGTGGGTATGTGACAACAATCTAGGATTTTAAGTAGAACTTGAGTTTATTTACGGCTGTCAGCGTTGGCGAGCGCGAGAAAGATAACGTTGCGTCTCTGCAGCAACACCGCCTTGTGTGTGCTGCCGCAAAATGTTAATAAGTCTGAAATCACGGGACGTATATTGCACACTCTCGTGGAACCTAGGTTCAGCGTGTGTGGAGGGGGGGGGGGGATTTAGGGTTAGGACCAATTGTACATGTTACGGGGAATTAGTAGAGATAGAAGATCATTATGGCCTGGAGAGAATGAGACGTCTGGGTGTAACCAGAGGGTCTGGCCAATTCATTACACTCAGAGGAAAGGCAAGACGAACATATAACCAGATTGTGACCGGTACCATCAGTATTCGAACTTTGCGCTGGCTGTTTAAGATGAGGGCGGAGCGTGCATGGGAATGCCCCTAGTGCTGTGATGTCAATTCTTGACTCAAGTCAACCTTACTCGTGATTCTGATGATTTTGCGAAATAGCGAAGCATGATCGCCTACGTTTATCGGCAGGAAACGTGATGATAATGTTGATGACAAATTTTTTACCCCCCCCCCCCCCCCCCCCCCCCCCCCCCCCCCTTTTCCAAATTTATTACTTCAAGGCAAAGAATAGTTTACAATAAAACGAGTTTCTTAACATAATCAGAGATGAGCTCGTGATGCGTGCGATCAATTAGTAGATTACCAGAAAACAAAACCACCATTATAGAAAATGTCAGCACAATCACTTTCTACGAAAACTCTTACATAAATCCTTTCAGAATCTTTCTATAAACTTTTTTTTAAAGGACTTTTTAAAAAGAAAAGAACACTTAGACTGCAGAAAACGTCACAGAAAACTTAAAAAGAGAAAAATCAAATAAAATTTCCACTGACAACGTCAGAGAAGACGTCTGCAAAACACGATTTAAAAAAAAAGAACATTTCTCGTGGAAACCTCTTATCAAATTGTATCACATATGGCCTTGGAACATTTTACGGAAATATTCTGCACACGAGAAAAAAAAAAACAATCGTCATTAACATGGTGAAAGACATAACGTGGGCATCGAAATGACGTAGTTAATAACTGACTCGCTCACTTATGCAATACATCCTTAAAAACATAAGACTTGAAGCCATCAACCGATATCTTGAAAATTGAGAAACCAGACATTAAATATATGTCACTGAGGCAACCTATGATTGACTTCATCATGTCTTTGGGCCATGTTTTTGTCAGTGATTGAGGTAATCGCCGATAATAATTTCCTTCTAGAAGTCTGACAGAGAAGTGAGGATTATCTTCCAAGATCATCTCAGCTTTCAGGATGGCATCTGATGGCGACAGCTTTCTGTTTTCAGAGTTAACAGAAGGCGCAAACATCAAGATCCAGGATTATCCTACACATTTTGTTTCGTAGTTTCCGCCAGTGTTAATGTCATTTCGCTGAGAAAACACAAATGCATGCTTGCTGTAAATTTTTTTTAGCGGACTTTGTTGGGGGGGGGGGGGGGGGGGGGGGTGGGGTGGGGGGGGGGGGGGGGGGGGGGGGGGGGGGGGGGGGGGGGGGGGGGAGTAGGTTGCCTCATTTTTTTCTGAAGGTCACTGTGTTGTTTCTGAACTCGATCGTTAGAATAACTGTGATATTCATGAATTCATGTGGATAGTTGCTGCAGCTACAGTGTTCGTATTTTGTGGGAATTATTTATAAAACTGCAATTGACTCGTTCAGCTGGCAGTTGGTTGTGCAGTGTCCAGTCATTAACTCAAATACCTTATGACTGAAGCATGGAAACTAGAAAATTACATCAGCTACCTTGCGATTGAAGCATGGGAACAAGAAAATTACATCAGCTACCTTGCGATTGAAGCATGGGAACTAGAAACTTACGGTAGTGCAGTGGATAGATGTTTACTTATCACTCCGTATGTAGTGGGCTCGAGTCTACTAGAAACACATTGATTTTTATTATGAACTTCCTGGGTTCCCTTGTCAGTCTAGCCTAAAATGGGTAACATTTGGTATCTTTGGAAGTGAAGGCGATCAGTATGATGCTGACTACAACACCTACCAAATGTCAGTTGAGATTTAAAGATATAGACCCTGGACCATTTGTTGCAATAACAGACACTGGACATGGGTTCCATTTGCACAACATGATATGTTTAATTAAATATAGCAGGATAAGATCTGAAAATCTGCAGGCCTGTCCACCTGTTAAGTGCCTCAGGTAACTGATATCTGTAGCGATTCTTCTTCTTCTTCTTCTTCTTTCTTTCTTTCTTTCTTCTTCTTCTTCTTCTTCTTCTTCTTCTTCTTCTTCTTCTTCTTCTTCTTCTTCTTCTTCTCCTCCTCCTCCTCATCCTCCTCCTCTTCCCCTCATCCTTCTTTTTCTTCTTCTTCTTTTTCTTCTTCTTTTTCTTCTTCTTCTTTTTCTTCTTCTTCTTCTTCTTCTTCTTCTTCTTCTTCTTCTTCTTCTTCTTCTTCTTCTTCTTCTTCTTCTTCTTCGTCTACCTTTATAACCTTCAGTGGAGCACAGGCCCTCAACCAACTCATGCTAAGTCGTTCTATCTTTCGCTATCGCATGCAGCTCTTCCCATATCCTCCCCATCTTTTTAACTTCACTCTCTAGCGGCCCTCTCCATGCCTGTAATGTTTCATTTCCCTAAATACTTCCGTCCTTCATCCTACATCATTCAAAGTTATGACATTCCAGGTGCCAACTCTGGATGTTTTCTTATGTGGGAGGAGGTACATCAACGATGCCGACTCCTTTCGGCTGTTTCCACCGCGTGTCATACTTCTTCTACTAGAAGAGCCTCCCCTCATCTGGGTTGGCTGAGTTTGTTTTGTTTCTCTTTTTGACTTTTCTTATGGCTGGTTGACTTTTTGTGGCTGTTTTAATAGGATGAGGTAGCCAACCTCGAGCAAAACAATATTTAAATCCTTTAAATGTGAAAACACGTAACCTTTAGAACATCAGCAGATCCCTCGTATCTGTAAGCCTGTAGAACGCCAGTAGATCCTTCGTATCTTTTTTTAGACCTGCCTACCCGCCAAACGTCTGCATATGCCCGATATCCTAGATCCACCTCATGGTCAACAATCAGCAGATCCCTTATATATGTATATATAAACTGTTCTACCCGTTTAACATCTGCAGATCCCTGATATCTGTAGACCTGCCTACCTGTCAAACACCGGCAGATCCCTCTTATCTCTGCGATTTCAAGTACAGTACTTCACAACGTTGGGCGGGCATCCATCGATAGTTCTTGCGCAACATGTATAAACGTGTCGCCTTATCTTACTTGGCTCGGCGTGATAATCCCTATCGTTGCATGTATCGATTAGCATCGCTTGTAGGAGCTGGTTCCCCAGCGTGTTCCATCCACAGGATGTAGGTGGGTGAGCGGTTAGATGTCAGCCTAATGCTGAAGGTTTCTGGGTTGATTCTGTCAGGGAGAGGTCGAAAAAGCATTTCATCAGTGCTCCTTACGGTGTATATGTGGGTGTTTATATCAGTTCTCACTCTTTCTGATTGTTTTCCGTTTCTTCTTCTTCTTTTTCTTTTTTCTTCTTCTTCTTTCTTCTTCTTCTTCTTCTTCTTCTTCTTCTGCTTCGCGGGGTAAGGGGCTTATCTTCTTCTTCTTCTTCTTCTTCTCTCTTCTTTTTCTTCTCTTCTTGTCTTCTTATTCTTAGGATTCTTCTTCTTCTTCTTCTTCTTCTTCTTCTTATTTTTTTTTCTTCGTTCTCTTCTTCTTCTTAGTAGTCTTCTTTCTTCTTCTTCTTCTTCTTCTTATTCTTATTCTCTTCTTTAGGATGAGGATTTCTTCTCTCTGATCTTCTGGGCGTTCTTCTTCTTTCTTATTCTTCTATTTGATTCGATGCCTTCTTCTCTTCTTCTTCTTCTTCTTCTTCTTCTTCTTCTTCTTCTTCTTCTCTCTTCTTCTTTTTTCTTCTTCTTCTTCTTGCTTCTTCTTTTCTTCTTCTTCTTCTCTTCTTCTTCTCTTCTTCTTCTTCTTCTTCTTCTTCTTCTTTCTTCTTCTTCTCTTCTTCTTCTTCTTTTCGTCTTCTTCTTGATCTTCTCTTCTTGATTCGTCTTCTTCTTTCTTCTTCTCTTTTTCTCTTCATTCTTCTGTCTTCTTTTCTTCTTGTTCTCTCATTCTCTTACTTCTTCTTCCTCCTCTTTTGCTTCTTCTTCTTTTTCTATAAATTTATAAACTTATCAAAAGAAAAACATTGTCACTAATGTCTGTTTTACTGGGGAAGGTTGAGGGTGGGAAAGGGGGAGTGGGTGGAGGGGGGGAGGGGTGTTAGAACGTGTTCCGCACTGGTTACTCCGCCTGACCTAGCTATGCTACTCTACATACATTGCATATTCCGTCTTTTCGTTGTTTTAATAAACAAGTTTATAGGAGTCGTTGCAATAAGGGATGATAGTCGAACTTCATCATTCCGAATGTTGTTGCTTCTTATATACCGATGTTGTTGCTTCTTATATACCGATAATCTTTCAAAAAATCTCTTTACTAATGCTTTGAGCACTAACCCTCAGTACCTTTACTTTCTGCTATCAAACCGGATCTCCAGCTCTTGTGCTGGTATGGGTTTTGAGGTTTTGAACAACAGATCATCATCCTGGCATACGGGTAGTAACCCTTAAATCCTCCTTTCTTCTTCTAATTCAAGTCTTGAATCCGAAGACGTTCAGCACAGTGCACATGCTCTGAAGCACCGGCGAGAATCCTGAAATACTTTTGGTAGTTTTTTTAACTCCTAATTGTGCCCGGGCAGCGCCGTTAGGCTACTCTTTTTCATTTCCAACTGCCAAGGGATTTTTACGTGCGCAACAATGCACACTGGCGTCAGATCTAACTACCAAGAGACCAGGGGAAATTACTATAAGTCCAAGTCCACGTGAAACAAAACAAAAAAGAAATTCTAGCCCTTACTGGGGATTAAACCCAGAGCCTCTAGCACTCGAGGCGGTCACCATGCGTCTAAGTGTGTAAACCATTTGATTTAATATCTTTGTATTTAATTTACGAGACTGGTACAGTGTCATGCCTCGAACGCACGCAGTTCCCTACTGTACTAGTAAGTACAAGCATAACACATAACTTTTAAGATTTACTTTAAATCCTAGTTTGGTAGCATCTTAAGCTCTTCAAACCTTACTGTCCTTTCTGCAGTCTTAAACATCCGATGTCTTCTCTAGCGCCACAAAAGTTCGCAACTTAACTGTGTACCCTGTAGTCGGATCACCATTGATTCCCTGAAGACGTCACAAGAAAAATGACACTCCTTATCAGCACGTGATTTCTCCCCGGGAATCCATTCTCTTTCCTCCTAACCTGACCTACTTTTCCCACGTCTGTACTGATCTCTCCAATTCCGACTCCAACCAGTGACTCCCTTGCCGTTGTTGTTTTCTGTCTTCTATTTCACAGCGTTACAGATGGTCCGAAGTTGGTGACTGAGAATTAAGTATCCCCTTGGGGAACTCGACTTTATCAAACGGTCTTCTGGTTCAGCTGTGGCAGGCTGGTTAAATAAAACATTGCTAAAGTGGGGATGTGTCATTCGTTACTGACTTCTGGCTACCCGACAAAAGCTATAATTTCTACCCTGTTGAGAAAACTTGTTATTTAGCAGCTCCCGTTCTCGCTTTCTTGTGTGTCTGTGTTTTGTATGTTTTTTAAAGACGTTAACTGGTTAAGGGGCTGAAGTACTTCTAGAAATTGTCTTGTTCGTCAAATGTTGTTCCAGCTATATTTTAAAACAGAGAGAGAGAGAGAGAGAGAGAGAGAGAGAGAGAGAGAGAGAGAGAGAGAGAGAGAGAAAAGGAAAGTGGGAGCCGGTGTGGTGTAGCGGCTAGACGCTGTCCTGCAGATTCAAAGGGCGTGTGTTCAGGTCCTGACGGAGCCGCACTATTTAAAAAATGGCCCTGGCTGCTAGCTCGACTCAACCTTAAATGGGTACCAGGTAAAGTCATGTGAAGTTGACCATATGGAGAGAGGGCAAGAGAGAGAGTGTGTGTGAGAGAGAGAGCGTGAGAGAGAGAGAGGGAGAGTTCACCCATCAGTTAAGTTGCTTATCCCTTATAGGACGTTGCAGAATCAACCCCAACAGCCCCTGGCTGTTGTGTAGTTTTTCTAGGCAATTTTACGTCCAGTAGTTTGCCATTGCTTCCTGGACGGTCAGCTTTCATGATACCACTGTCGAAACCAACGCAAGGCGCATGTCCCCCAGCTGGGATCGAACGTAGCATCCCGGCATTACAAAGCGTTCGCATCGACTCATCCACAGAGCCGACCACCCATCAGTACGTACTCAGAATCTTTCCAAGCGAGTTTACTAAGTAATACAAATCAAGACAGAAAGAAATCACCCTAGAGACAAATAACAAAAAAAAAATGTGAACGTATTGATTGTCCACTTTGTGACTGAGATCTGGCTACCACTGTTAGCAGAGCCAGCTGTGTTCGGATTTCTCTGGTCAATCTCTACCCGAGAAAGAAAGACGTTTCGATCAGCCAATGACCTGGCCCTAATATTGATCACAGAGGAATCAATACCATCTGTACACTAGAGCCAGGGAACGTAAAGAATATGTTTCACCGACTTGCCGACCTTGGCTCCCGCTCCTTTTCTTTCTTTCTTTCTTTCTTTCTTTCTTTCTTTCTTTCTTTCTTTCTTTCTTTCTTTCTTTCTTTCTTTCTTTCTTTCTTTCTTTCTTTCTTTCTTTCTTTCTTTCTTTCTTTCTTTCTTTCTTTCTTTCTTTCTTTCTTTCTTATTTTCTTTCTTCTGTTACTGGCACTTGAGAGACGTTGGCTTATTCCTTTTGTTAATTGTCCCCCTCTCTAGTCCTGTCTTCTCAGCTCATATTTCTCAGGGGCACTGCCTTAGATCATTTCTGTGTGACTGTATCTGCCTTTCCCGTTCACAGTGTTTCCCCATCCCGCTAGTTTATATAGTAAAATACTTACTGGGGTATTTTACTATAGTAATTTATATCAGGAAGTAAAAGATTCATTTGTGTTCAAGTCACACTAACTAGATAATCCGAATGAGTCTAGACCGTAGAGAGATTATTCTTGTAGACAGGAGATTATCGGAACAGAAGAGAAACAGACAGAAAGAGGAAAAGAAGTGACTTACATATTTCATAACATCTAGTAGAATGTATATTTGTTACTCTGGACCTTGTACGTTCATGATATTGCCCCCATACCACAGTCTTGGATTATCAGGTTTCTGTCTTCTCCATCCAACTCTACCTCTTCTACCAGTGTAACTTTCCTAGTTGTTGCTATGTTCTCCATCCAACTCTACCTCTTCTACCAGTGTAACTTTCCCAGTTGTTGCTATGTTCTTCATCCGACTCTACCTCTTCTACCAGTGTAACTTTCCCAGTTGTTGCTATGTTCTCCATCCAACTCTACCTCTTCTACCAGTGTAACTTTCCCAGTTGTTGCTATGTTCTCCATCCAACTCTACCTCTTCTACCTAGTGTATAACTTTCCCAGTTGTTGCTATGTTCTCCATCAAAAAAAAAAAAAAAAAAAAAAAAAAAAAAAAAAAAAAAAAAAAAAAAAAAAAAGAAAAAAAAAAAAAAAAAAAAAAAAAAAAAAAAAAAAAAAAAAAAAAAAAAAAAAAAAAAAAAAAAAAAAAAAAAAAGAAAAAAAAAAAAAAAAAAGAAAAAAAAAAAAAAAAAAAAAAAAAAAAGAAAAAAAAAAAAAAAAAAAAAAAAAAAAAAAAAAAAAAAAAAAAAAAAAAAAAAAAAAAAGAAAAGAAAAAAAAAAAAAAAAAACTCTACCTCTTCTACCAGTGTAAGCTTTTCAGTTGTTGCTAGTTCTTCAAACAACGTTAATAAAATAAATATCTTTTTTAACACATAACTTCTTCTTCATAGCCTCTTTTACCTCTTCGGGTATCGATGAAGATAAAATGTTCTGTTTCTTACTCTCTCGACTACAAATGCATCCTGCTCTTGTAGAGTTTCTCTGATGTTGTCTATCTATTGTTTCCTTGGTCTGCCTCATGACTGCGTCCTTCCTTTCTTCTAGTATACGAATTATATGATATGGCGTAGCAGGGTATGCTCTTTAATTGTTAAACCATTAGATTTACTATGTTTGTATTGGTACTGTGCCGACTTGTTCTCTTTTGACATCATTCCTGAATTGATCTCTTAATGTCACTTCTGCAACTCTTCTCAGACGTCTCATTTCTAAATACTTGACTAAGAACACTATTTATATGATACCATGGGTATCTTTGTGGCTCGGTGGTCAAGCCGTTTGCCTCGAATTTAGACAATCGTGGGTTTGTTTCGCAGACACTGTCTCTGGGTTCACGAATGCAATTTTACGGAGATCCTTTGAAATTTTCGCTGAAACTACGGAATTCGTTGGCGGTCTACCTTTCTGCGGGGAGAGACCCACCTATCTAGCAACAGACACGGTGCATTTAAGTCGATTACCTCCACTTGAAACCGTTACAACTTTGTATGATCCCATGTACTTACTGTGGAAGGATTGTCTTAGCGTCAGATTGTCTTGGTTTTACTAAATAACCTATGTAGAGATAAAAGAAGACCATAAATGCTAGACTGTTGTTCTAAATTTGAATAACAGCCTGAATCTCAGTTAAAACTTTTCACATTTTTAAAGAACCTCAGTGTTACTTGTGAATGAAAATGATTCATATTTCTATTTAGAACTCACAAATAATGACGCCAGCCACTTGGTATAATTGCATATGAAATGAGGTTGGCAACGGGAGGCAAGTGGTGGGTGGGGGAGGGGGGGGGGGGTATTTAAACTACCTATACTGTAAAAAAGCTCTAGCTTTGGACAACTGGCAGTGGCTAAAGGAGGGGTTTGCGTGGGGTACGGGTCGCAACGAGTGTCATCACTGACATGCTAGGAAAAAGTGAGGAAAGGGCAGAAGTGGGCGCTGGGGGGTAATATGCACAGATATGTGTTTTCAACATTTACAAATATTTATGTGAGTGTGATTGTGTGTGTGGTCGCACGTGTGTGTATATGAGTATGCACGTGTGTGTGTGTGCGTGCATGTGATTGTGTGTGTGTGTGTGTGTATGCGCGCGAGAAGACTCTTTTTGAAGAACCGATACATTTTGTCTATTTCCTATCTATTATTTTGTCATTCATCACATTATAATAGTTTTGACTGTTATTACTGCACACATAAACACGGTGAATACACATTGCCCCCTCCTCACCACACACAGTTTACAGAGGGGACTGTATCTCTTTTCGCCTCCCTCCTCCAAAGTTGTATTTGTCTTGGCACTCCTAGCTACGTATAATATTGATGGTGTGAAATTTGGCATATTGATGATAATATGCTTCTAACATAGCATATTGATGAGATAATTATATAATAAAAATTGAAGGGAGGAGGGGTTGGAACGGATGCGGAGTGGTCGACAGAACTCTACACGACCAGACCCAGAAGCGGGCGTGCTAACTACTGGTCCTTTCTTTGTATTTTCCTATCTTCCTTCTGGTAGGTGAAGAACCATAACCCACGCCTTCAGACGTATTGGACCTATATTGCTAGACCTATGTTTCTCAGACCGAACGGCACTCGGTGGGTGATATTTTCAGTATCATGCCGGCTGCCTTTACTTCCCAGGACTTTACCTGGTGTCCGTTTAAGGAGGTCGACCTGGAAGCTTGGGCAGTTTTTTAAGAAGAAAAAATAATGTCAGACTCCTTTTGAATTTGAGCCCACTACTTTTGAATCTGTAGGGAACGTCTAGTCGCTATACCACGACTTCTTATTTTCTGTAGGTTTCATGAAACTGAACTAATCGCATCCTATGGTTATGAAATAGCTCTACCGGCTCACTGCAAACGTTTTCTGACACCTGTAGTACAAGAACGAGATGTACAGGAAAGCCTGAGAATATTCAAGAAACCGAGGACTAGAGACTGCAACGGCTAAGAAGCGAATAAGATGGTGCCAGCTGATTGCGAACTGGTTTACATTTGGGCTCCAGAAAGAGATAAACTGATTAAAGGAGAAAGAAGAAGAGGAACAGCAGCAGCAGCAGTAGCAGCAGCAGCAACAGCAGCAGTAGTAGTAGAAGTAGTAGTAGTAGTAGTAGTAGTAGTAGTAGTAGTAGTAGTAGTAGTAGTAGTAGTAGTAGTAGTAGTATTAGTAGTAGTAGTAGTAGTAGTAGTAGTAGTAGGAAAAATAATAGTAGTGATATGAATAATAGTAGTGATAGTAGTAGTAGTTGTTGTTGTTGTTGTTGTTGTTGTTTTTGTAGTAGTAGTAGTAGTAGTAGTAGTAGTAGTAGTAGTAGTAGTAGTAGTAGTAGTAGTAGTAGTAGTAGTAGTAGTAGTAGTAGTAGTAGTAGTTGTTGTTGTTGATGTTGTTGTAGCATCATCAGCAGCAACAGTAGTGGTAGTAGCAGTAGTAGTAGTGGTGGTGGTGGTGGTGGTAGTTGTAGTAGTAGTAGTAGTAGTAGTAGTAGTAGTAATAGTAGTAGTAGTAGTAGTAGTAGTAGAAAAGAAAAAAAAAGAAGATGATGTTGACAATAATGATGATGAAGACGACGACGATGATTATGATGATTAAAATGAAGAAGAGCAGTGGCTGTTGTATAAAGCGATGACCATTTGTTCGCCCAAATCCTTCCTGGAAGGGGATTTAATTCCCGCGGGAAACATCCGCCCACAGCTTCTCCTATAAAGAATACATGTTTTCCCGTTTGGGTTCCGGGGCCCCATTGTGGAGAAAACAAGAACAGACCCACTGCTTTCCCTACAAGCATGTCGTAAGAGTCGACTGATTGGGGACTTCCTTCGAAGTCAGAGTGCATCTGCCTGAGAGGCAAGGAACCAACAGTGTGCATACAGTAAAATCAGGTCTGTTAAACGGAGTTTTTGGAACAATTCTAAAGTGCATAGGTGGACAAACAACAAGAACTTTTCGCCGGAGTTTACAGCCGGCGAACATAAAGAAAAAGAAAAAAGAACATATTGTTTTAATTTTTTTCGAATGCTTTTTTTAACCTTCAATTGAAAGTGTATTGCTTTGCATGACGTATATTAGATAACATAGTTCCGTCTCGAAGATTAAAGTCAGTTTCTTGTCACTCCTGTTTTTATAATTCTTATCCTTCACCTTGTGTTTTCGAAATACCACTTTGCATAATGAATTTCCGGTCATAATGAGCATGGAAGAGAAGCCCAATTATGGCGGTGGAAAGAAAAAAAATGGAGTTCTAAGACAAATAGAGTGAGTGGGAGGGAAAGGGGAATGCGCGTTTCCGAGTCTCACCAATTATTTTGAGCAGAAAAGTAACATTGTCTCGAGGATCCGACAGAGGAAGGAAACGAGGAAAGGGGAGAGGGTGGTCTGGGGACAGTTTGAGCATGCGAAATCTCCCCATATTAAAGTTAAGTATGCTCAGAGGCGCTGCCACAAGGAAAGCCTACTTATGATTTTTTGTTTGTTTGTTTATGGAGCTTGGGGTGCCGTCCTAGGGTTCCAGCCTTGTTTAAGTGTTTAGTATTGATAACAATTATTATTATTATTATTACTAGTATCAATGTTGTTTTGATGCTTATATGGCAGTTTCAAAAACAAAGAACCACAGAACCGCATTGTTATCCGATGGCGACAAATTATACCCATCGTTAAATTTATTGAGAAGCAAAGAATGAAATGGTTTGGTCACCTAATGAGAATGGAACCAACGATGCCAGCATCAAGAGCATACAACATGAAAATCGAAACACCAAGAGGCAGGGGAAGACCAAGAAGAAGATGGATTGAAGGAGTCACGGACAAGTTGAGACTTCATAACATCACGGCATATGAAGCGACTGAGCGCGCCCTGGCTCGGTTGCCGATCATCTGATAGACTGCGACGCCTAGCGGCACAAGCAGATTTTGACAAAAGAAGAAGAAGAAGACAAATTATTCATTAATGGGAAAACCCGTATAGGTAAATTCAATCGGCGACCCGGATGCAAAAGAAATGTCATTTCTTCTTCTTCTTTCGTTCGCTTGAAATAGATTATCTATATCTGCAGTGTTGTCTCTAGTATGAACTTCGCTGTAGTTTGTAATTCACTCAGCGACCCGTAAAGTTTGACTTGCACCAATGTTTTTCATGGCAAAACGTTTTGCCTTGATATGTTGTACTTGGGAAGGTCTTGGAGGACATGATGTGTAGTCTCAGGTACCAATCTACATGTGCACATGGCTGATTCGCTTATTTTATAATTTCTGTACATGTACATAGTGTGTACATAGTCATCATTTTTCGGCCATGTTATGAGAAGAGGAAAAATAGAACATGTTGTGATCACTGGAAAGATATGTGGAAGGAGGGATAGAGAAAGACAACGAGAGAAGATTATTGACAGTCTTGTTGCATGATATGGAGGTGTGTCGGCACACGAACTGATACATGTTGCAGGAGATCGCAGATTGTGGAGAGGCATGATCGCCCACGCCAGTCGGAAAGGCACCTGATGATGATGATGATGATATATATATGTGGCTGAGAAGTCGATTGTGTATATGATTGGTTATCCCTAAGATATTCTTGTATGCAGTTTAAACAGTAGTAGTCCCTAAATTACAAAGATTTGGAATGTCAAAAGTATAATAAAATTGTGGGTTTTTTGTGTGTGTTTTTTTGTCCCCCTTAAGTCGCAATGCGTTTTAAATAGTACAGTAATATGTATTGAATGGTAAATAAGTCTAATATTTATGATGTATAAAGACAAGACTATAAAAAAGAGAAAGTTTATAGATTGGAGAAAGGGGGTACTTAATCCCTTACACATTTTCTAGGCATAGAGGTAGAGAGCTCCTTAAAGATATTTGTGAAGAACGATCTGAAAGTGCCTCAGCTTCCAGGTTCCGGCGCCTTTGAGCATGCTTTGATCTTGCTCGCACGTGCGATTTCTGTCGTCAGGCGGTGTGATGGATCGATGAGGCGGCGCGAGCCTGGAGATATGATTGTCTACCACCAGTGTAATCCTGTAATATGTGTTCTAGTGAGTTGACTGGCGACCGCTAGCTGCTGCTGTTGTACATAAATGGCAGGTTTTGTGACAGGACATGGTTCAGCTTTCATCGGACCTTGCAGCAGTTGGATCTGTCAGGTCCAGTAGAAACGTCGTTAGATACTCGTCGGCCATATTGGATTCAATAAAAATTCAAATAGGAAAAATGTTTTGCGAAACTAAATTTTGTAAACTAAGATTTAATATTTAAATTGTTAAACTAATTTATAGTAAAAAATGAAAACCAGTGTAAAATTTGATTTCTAAATCTTTGTAAAAATCGATATCTAGGTAAACATTATATACTGACATTCTGTCCAACCATTACGAAAATATATACTTTTTACCGATTCTTCAAAAAGCTGCTCAAGAAACATACCATGTAACAAAACTGTTAGATGTAACGCAATCAGTTCTAATTTATAAAAGTTGCCAATTCCACTGATGCCCTTTCTAAATTTAAAATAATATTAAGATAGAGGAACACAACAGAAACACAACCTGCGTGTCTTCATTCCAGTCGTATTTATAAACAGTGGAAATTCCGCTTGGTCAGTCCTATGTATATATACATGGCAATGGAAATGTCCGAAAAACAGTTAGTTCTCAATGGAAGTAGGAGCACTTACAGCAAGAGTTGAACTTCGACCACTCTTGGAGAGGATACTTACAGGTCAACTAGATAGTAATGCACTGGTCAATGTAAGTACAGATTGTGTTTCAATGTTTACTATATTTGTCAACGTAATATTTTTTTTTTAAATGTCATGTGACGAAACCACGGTATCGATGACTGAAGCATCGATTTCGTAAAATGTCTATCGCCATGATAGACGTGAAGCCGTCGTGTTGATGCTGTGAGTGTGTCGTGACTTTAGAAAGTCTGTGCATGTCGCTGCAATAGACGT